AGCAAGAAGGTTATGCTTCGGGGGGGGGGGGGGGGGCAGGGACTGGAAGATTCAACCAAAGAGTCATGGAAGGAGGTTTGTGGTGAACTGAAAAAAAAAAGTTGATCTCATTGCATCTAACAAAGCGGATGCTCCAGAGGTGTTCTCACGACGAAAAATCAAAGAAGTTAACCCTTCTCGTCCGGTCAATACAAGGTTGGCTGCGAAGAGAAGTTCAAAAGACCCTTCTACAAATGTTTCCTCATGAAGCTATTGACATGGAATCTTAGAGGATTAGTCTTGTTGTGCCCGAGGCTAAGTGATATCATTAGGCACCATAAAATTGATTTTGTTACCATTATGGAGTCTATTATTGGGCAGGATAAGGGTGATATCTATATGCGCATTTTGGGTTTCACTGACTTATTAATGGAGGCTTCAAATACAATTTGGCTAATTTGGAATAACCAGATGTTTGATGTGCAGTTTATATTTGAGGAGGATCAATTTTGGATATTAAAGGTGAAATTTATTAAGTTGGATTTTAAGATTGTCTTTTCTACAATTTGTGGGTTGCATACGAGAAGTGATAGAGCTCGGTTGTGGACTGGATTATCAACTGTTGCTCACACAGAAGATTCAACATGGGTTTTAGGGGGAGATTTTAATGTTGTTTCTTCTATTTCTGAATACCAAGGTCCATCTACTTCGCTTATTAATGACATATTGGATTTTCAAGAATGTACTGATGGATGTGAGCTATTTAAATTGCCAGCTATTGGGTCTGCCTTCACTTGGTCTGGAATGAGGTCTAGCGGTAGGTATCTGGCCAACCAAGATTTTCTATTGAAATTCAAAGCTATTAAAATTCAACACTTGGCTAAAACTCCCTCTGACCATTGTTGATGTGAGTTTTCTCGCACTTAAAATAGATCGTAATATAATGGTGTAAGTACGAGTATCGTCTCCACAGGGACGGACAAAATGGAATCAAGAATTAATTAAATTCAGCGATTAAAAAGAAAATAAAATAAAATCGTCGTGCAAGGCCTAATTACATCAAATTAATTTAATTGAGCCTAGCTAATCATTACTAAGTTCTTACCGCTCTCGCGGCGTAGAGTACAATAATTTAGGGGACCAGGCTGATCTCTCATGTGACATGATCCTAAATTATTGCCAAGACGAGCGAGCTTACGGCCCCTTTATCGCTACTAATCTCTTAGCGAACGATTAAGTGTGTGTGAATGTGTCCTAGAACAAATTAGATCTCTCTTAATTTATTCTACATGCAATTGTAATTCTAGTCGCGATTCTAGGTTACAAAAGATATCAATTAAATTATTCAAACACAAATTAAACGGCATTCATGCAATTAAACCGAAAAGAATCTAGCCATACATCATGATCAACCCCTTCATCAATCCCAAATCCCTAATTAAAACTACTCACAATTCATAATTGAAGAATCAATAGAATTGGGAAGAATAGAATTAATTGTCATTAATTAAAAAGGTGGAACTTACAAAGAATCCCAAAAGATTGATGAACAAGGCTGAAAAGCCCTCTAAAATTCGTGCTAGATACTCTCTCTAAGCTCCCCCCGAAAACGGGGGTTTACAGGCTGTTTAAATAGAAAAATCGGGTGAAATTTGAGCTGAATTAGGATTTTCGGAGCCAGGCACGAACGTGCCTTCGATTGTGCCTCCGGAGCAAAAACGCGCATTTTGGGCAGGCACGATCGTGCCTCCCTCCAGGCACGATCGTGCCTGGCTGGCAGTAACTCCGCCGTGCTTTTCTCTTCAGGCACGATCGTGTCTGACTTTGAGGGCACGATCGTGCCTACTTAACTTCCGAATTTGACAAAACTTCCTTCATGAAAGTTGTAGATAATGAAGTCCTCTATCCACCCCAATTTGCCTAATGTGATTTGAATCATCCAATCAAGAGATATGATCAAAACGGTGGAAGGTGTCTTTCTGAAGTCGCAGCAGAGATCATCTGACTTCATCGTCTGTTTTCACCTTCTTCCTCTCAGATTCTCACAATGATGTCTTCATATGATTTGTATCCCTTGAAGTTGGCTTTCATATACAACTTGAATCGTGTCCATTGGTTGTTCCTACAAAGAGATATGCTTGAACGATTGACAGAAGGTCATCCTGATCGTCATTTTCAAGCTTCATTCATCTTCTTTTGACCCCGTAGCCAATCCTAGAGCTCTTTTTCCTTCAAATCTTCATCGTGAATCTTCCAGTGACCTCCAAAGCTATCAAATCATTCTCAAATGCTTCTCAAATCATCCCGATTGTTCCTCAAGTGCCGGGTACCGGGCTCAAATTCCCTGATTTTGACTACAAACAACACAAAACTCGAACCAACGCCCGGGTAAACATAACTTGAGCTAAAATTGAGACTTGTAACACCTTAAAACTAGGAAAATCATCAAAAGCCGATCTCAACACGCATCAAATATGTGTCAAAATACGGACTTATCAATTGTCAAGGGGAGGAAAAGGGCCAAATAATCATTGAGCAAGAATTACCTATGGACAAGGGATCGAGACAACTTCGATTTCAAAACATGTGGTTCTCAAATGAAGAGGTTTTCCCATTTGTCAGAAGCAAATGGTTGGATTACCCAACTTGTGGGGGAATGTGAGGATTTTGTGCTAAATTGCAGTTTTTGAAGTTGGATTTGAAGAAATGAAATAAGGAAGTGTTTGGGGACATATTTAGGGACTCTATGAGGTTGGAAGAGGAAGCACATGATGCTGAGAAACAATTTGAGGAAAATCATATTGCTACTAACAGGGCGAACTACCACAAAAAACAAGCTGAACTCCTGATTAGAATTAAACATCAAGAGATGTTCTGGAAACAAAAGGCTGTTTTGAGGTGGATTGAGCAAGGAGATGATAATACCCAAATTTTCCATGCTTCGATAAAGGATAAAATAGGTAGGCAATACATCAATGATATCAAGGACAATGGAGAGTGTTGCTATGACACTAAAGATATTGAGAAGGAAGTTGATTTTTTTTCAAACATTATATGGTTGAAATTACAAAAGGTTATGACAAGGTTCTTAAACATATTCCGACTCTTCTTGATAGGGCTGATAATGATAATTTATTAAATCTGTCAGATGAAGCTGAGGTTAGAGCAGCGATTTGGAGCTTGAGTCGGGAAGTTGCACCTGGTCCAGATGGGTTTGGAGGAAGTTTTTATAGGGGGTGCTGGGATATTATTAAAAAGGATGTAAATTTTGGCGGTTCAATAATTTTTATTGGGGTTTGCTATCCCTAAGGATATTGGGAGTGTCAATATGGCGCTTATACTCAAGAAAGAGAATCTAACATGTTTTGGGGATTTTCGACCCATTTGTTTGTCTACATTTATCAGTAAGATAAATACACTCATACACGCGCCCAGAGTATCTTGCATTCTGCCTAGAATTATTTCTAAAGAACAATCTGGATTCATGAAGGATAAGGAAATTAAAAACCAGGTTTTGTTGGCATTTCAGATGGTGGTGAAGCTTGACATGGCTAAAGCCTTTGACAGGGTGGCATGAGATTTTCTCGATTCTATTTTGCAGAAGTTTGGGTTTGATCAAAGGGTCAGGCAACTTATTATGGGAAATCTAAGAGTACCTACATCTCAGTTATGGTAAATGGGGTACCATTTGGTTTTTCCAGGCTTCCAGAGGTGTTGAACAGGGAGATCCACTCTCCCCACTATTATTTATAATTGTTTCTGAAGCATTTTCTAGAGGGATTTAATTTTGGCAGGAGTAAAAAAAATTCATTTAGCTTTTGCTGATGACTTAATGGTGTTTTAAAAGGCTTTGCAAACCTACTGAAAGTGGAGGAGTGGGCATAAGGTCTATAGCTGATATCTAGAAAGTATCAACCTTAAAGCTGTGGTGGGATTATCCATTTGGACTGATTTGATGCAAAGCAGGTATGGGAAACGTAGATTGGGTGAGGTTAAGCCTACAAATTCTCCAACTTGGAGAAGGATTTGCCTCAAAAATGAGGAGGTTGAGCAAATGATAACTAGAGGTCCTAATACTATAACATGGAAGTATACAAGGGAGGCGGGGGGGGGGGGGGGGGGGTTACATCAAAGTCTGCATATTTAGCCTTTGGCTGCAGGGAGGAAGGGCTCTATCGAATACTCTAATTTGGGACCACGAAAAAGTCTCCAAAATTAGGGGTTTTCTTTGGAGATTGTGGCATGGGAGTCTTCCTTTTCCGGAGCAACTGGCTACATTCACAGTGTCTTACCCCACCATATGTCCATTTTTGCAAAAAAAAAAAAAACAAGTATCAACCGAGACCATATTCTTCTGAATTGCTCACAGGCTCAAGCTATTTGGGACTTCTTCTCTAACACACTTCTGCAAGGGAGGAAACAGGCACTTAGCATCAAATTGGAAATTATGAGGTGGTGGATTAGCAAAAAAGGTAAATCAGTGGATATTACATACTGAATCGTCTTACCAGGGGTTATTGTGTGGCATTTGTGGAAAGCTTACTAGGATTCGGTGTGGAATCATATCGAGCAGAGGACGGAGATTTTGATCCATCAAATCAAGAAATTTATGTTATTCTGGTGCTATGAAAATGATAATTTGAAAGGAAACGAAAGGATTAAACAGCTCGGGCTCGTACCTGCTCGTTTGAAAATAGAAGACAAAGAATTGGCAGATGGGAAAAACCAGCTCCATCTCATATGAAGCTCAACTGGGCGGTTGCTAGAGGTAACGGCAAAACCGCAACGGGTTATCTTCTTTGAGGATCAGTCAAGAGAGGCGGTGGCAGCGGAGGAATTTCCTCCAAGAGGCCGGCTATGGAGGAAGTGGAAGCGTTTGAGAGAGTTATGCAAGGGGTGGAATCACTTGGCTTGCCTAATGTGGAAGTGGAGTCCTCCTTTTCTAGAATGTGGGAGGAGGGCCGAGGATATATGGGTCGAGTTTGTGCGCTACATTATTCGGAGATATTGGCCCAAGTAAAGACTATAGTGGCTAAATTGGGCTTCAGCGGGTCTTTTAAATGGCATAAGGGAGATCCTTTACTGCAACAGCTTAAGGGAGGTATTGCTTTAGACGCTATTTCATTGCCTTATATTATTTAATTAAGGGAGGTATTGCTTTAGACGCTATTTCATTGCCTTATACTCCCTCCGTCCCTGAAAATTGTTCCCTGTTTCCTTTTTGGGCCGTCCCAAAAAATTGTTCCCCTTTCCCCTTTTGGAAATTTTTTGTGGCTACAATTCACCTTTTTCTTACTCAACCACAACCATACATTTCCACTTTATTCCCACTTTCTTAAACTCCGTTCCAAGTCAATGCGGGAACAATTTTCCGGGACGGAGGGAGTATTATTTTGTTTCTTCTTGTATTTGCTCTTGATGGGCTTTTTTTGGTTTTGGGTAAGGCTTTAGCCCCCCCAAAGATCCGACAATTGGGTTTAGCTTTGAAATCTTTCTTCGCTAGATTCAAGTGGTAAAAGTAAGAATGGGGAAAAAATATCATAAAAAATAGGGCTGAAGTAAACATGAAAACAAGTAAGCTCCAATTTTATTTAATTTGACATTGAAATGTGTAATATTTAATTCATAATTATGTATAAGAATTTATTGTCAAAAAACTGTTTAGAAAAACCAGTAATGTTTTGTTTCTCGTGTATGAAAAGTATTTTGTAAAATGAATACATTGACAATTAATGGGTTGCATGAAAAAATGAATAGTATTTACTTTTTATAAAACCAAGTTCGAAATTGATTTATTGATACACCTTGATTGGAGATAGTTTTAAGCTATGAAGCATGGATACTTCATTAGGGTGCCTATCGACGTATTGGAAACGTTTCCGTATCCGATACTCTAGGATACCCGTACCGTACGTTCCCGGGCTGTATCTGTAATTTTTAAAAGTTTCCGTTTTTTGGTAATTATTTTAAAATTTTGGATACTCGTATCCTGACGGATACCCATATCAACTTTTTATAATAAAAAATCTTTCAACAAAAAATGTTTTAAAAAAACACTCAAAATTTACATAATAAAATTCTTAAAAAATGAAAAGCTAAAAATAATTTTTACCTTGCTATTATGTGGTAGTGTGGTACACAACTAATGGGTGCATTCCTAATCCACCCATCGTCCTATCCCTAATTCTAATTATCTCTGAAAATTAATAGCTCCAACGGAAATACGTATTAAAACTTTTAAAATATTGTTTTCTATCTTCATTATTTCTAGAACTTTGAGTATTTGCACTTTTAATTTCAAAACTGTAGTTGTTTGACTTATTTCTCATTTTAATTAAATTAATGACTTATTTACTATATTTATATTTCGAGGTGCACTAGTGTTTATGAGATAAAATAAGAACTTAATTCTAAGTATCTTGAAAATATAAAATGTTTCAATGCCATGAATGAATAGATGTCAGAAGATAATAATTTTTTCCAAAATATTGTTATTTTTAATATTATAAATACACCTCTGTAACTTTTAATATTTATAAATATACCCCCATAAATTTTAATATTTATAAATATGGTCACGTATCTGTATCCTACTTTTTTTTGTTTTATCATATCTTAGTACTCGTTTCCGCGTTTCCGCGTACCTGTATCGATGCTACATAGATTTTAAGCAGACAACATTGGCACTCTTAGAGTCATAGGCCAACACAAAATAAAATACTTTTAGGCCCACAATTTGTACTCGATAGCAATTTGAATGTACATCTTTTGAAAAGATAAAGAGCAGGCTGCAACCCAAAAGTCCAAAGAAAAATGTACTAAAAGCCGGCAAACTGAAGCAACTTTTAGCCCACAATAGGCAATCAAGTCACAGCCCATAATAGTGTATAGGTTTGAGGGAGATTAGTCGATAATCATACTTGTCACGTCAATTATTTGTGAGTTTGTTTATATTTGTAACATTTTCCTTCATATTATTAATTGTTTTTAGTTTTTTTTGTAGAATGTGGTATTTTTGTTGGTGATAATCTTAGAGAGTGTTTGGAAGAATTTAAAACGTACTTTAAAGCTTTTGATTTTAAAAAGTTAAAACGCATGTTTTTAAGTGGTAATTTTTACTTAGATTAAGCAGTAAAAGTTAAATCAGCCGTGTTTTAATCCGATTTTCACTTTTTCTAATTAAACAAAAGATTTTTTTTATCAAACTCTATCAACATTTACGTTTTCAAAATACTTTTTCTCAAACACAGTTAAACTTTTAATACTATTAAATACTTTCTCTAAAATCATTTTAACAAATCACATTTTAAGTACAATCAAACGCAAACACTATCTTAATAAGTTCATAATCACTAGACTAATGACCATGGTTGATAGCCTACACTTGCATCAATAGAATGGGTTTCATTTTGGGCTTATACTATGCACAATAATTAAATATTGGGCTTAATCATTTATACGGGGGACTGTAGAATGTGCTGCGACACTTTAATAAATGACGTTTTCAGCATATTAATATTGACTATATAGTGACCATCGCATTTTAATATATTGACCAAATCAAGTTAAAGCAGAATACTACTACGTACTAAACAACCATAAATTTTTATACGAGTGAAAATATCTTTATTGAATTATTGTTGTCAATACAGAGATTCACTATTCAAAAGATATGTAAAAATGAAAAGTAGAAATGGTTCTAAATAGGAATAAACTTGTTATTTTTCAAAACAAAGATACTAGGGGTGTTTGGTAAACGGCGTTTCAACCGAAAAATGACGGTTTGACAAATAGCGGATTGAGTCAGCGGTTAGCGGTTAGCGGATTGAGTCAGTGGATTTAACCAGCGGATTTAATTAAGCCAGTTGCAAAAGAATATTTAGTAACTTAGTTGTTTGTTTATAGCGGTTAATATGTAAAAAGACATATCAAGACATGCATTAATAAAATTTAGTATCCATTTTTTTAATAATGCTATTAATGTATTCCTACGTAATTGATAAGAAGTTCAACTTACATATTAAAATATGTAAAGGGGCAAAAAACACTCCTAAAATTGTCATCAATGGGGATCCAAGCCCTTAAACTGTTTTTATGTGTAAAAATCTTTATAATCTTTTAAAGGATGGCAATTGCCCCCTTCACTCACTAACAAATTTGACGGAAGTAGCAATCGTTAACTTGCTCCCTTTAATTAATTTAATTTGTTTATTAACTAAGTTTGTAAATTAGTTGACATATAGGAAGTATGAAATACGTACTCCATATTACTTTTTAAACAATTGTAATTTTTTTTAAAGTAACAATTGTAATTGTTAACTAATTGTAAAACGTAAAAACAATTAGAAAAGAATTCATATTACAAATAGAGCTACAAAACTATATTTTGGTTGGAATTATTAGTCAAACTTTTATCAAACTATCTTAAACCAACAATTTTAGCAAAATTGTTTAATAATCAAAATAAGTGCGGTTGAAATTACTTTTTTTTATTAAATCAGCTCAAATTATTTAAAGCCAGCTATTTTAACCTTTTCATATGACTTTTTCTTTATAAAAATACATCCGCCTCTTAAGATTGAGATAAGAGGGAGTAGTGCGGTTAGTCCGGTTACTAAGAAAATTGATCGAGATTGTGTGATTAGAATTAAGTTGATAAAATGAGAATAAAATGATAAAGATTTGCAATCCTCCAGATATTAACAAATATGATATGCGACAAACTTAAGATGTTTGAACTTGGATTGTATTTTGCTGGTCTGGTCTAGTTTGGTCTGTTTAAGTCGGGTATGATCTAGTCTGGCCTGTTTAAGTCTAATCTGGTCTGTTTATGTCTAGTTTGGTTTAGTCTGGTCTGGTCTGGTCTGGTCTCTTTGTATTTTATAACTACGGAAGTCTAGTTTGATCTGTTTAAATCTAATCTGGTTTGGGACTGAAAACAGTCCAAGTAAAAACATCCTTAATGGGACAGATGAAAAATGTAAAATAAGACAAAGATAGAGGACAGAGAATATTAATAAAAATACATTTTAAATTTAATTTCTCTGTAATTCAATAAATTTAATTAATTGAGTCACTTCAGTAAAATTTGATAAATTTTAGTACATTCAACCGATTAAGTCAATTTTTGTGCTACTAAACGAGCTCTAATCATAGTACAAAGCAATTCTTTTCTATTTGCTAATAATTAACTTTTTTTTTACGGAACATTAACCTTTTCTAATTGTTAATACCTTTTTATGTACAATCATTATTTCATTCTATTTGTTACTCGAGTATTAAACAAATGCAACAGTCAATTTATCGCGTTTGTCAATACACAACTTTGAGCATTAATAAATTTGATTCTCTTTTATGAAACAAATTTAACAATATATTTTTTAGAATAACTTATTAATACATTAATAAATAAAACGTAATCAAAGTATAATATATAAATAGTATAAATTTCACATGTTACATTTATTTAAAAATACTTAGTAGCTTCTATGGTTCTCTTGTATTTTTAATCCTTTTATTTTTATTTTGTACTTCATATAACTCAAATAAAATAAAAACATAGTTTTATGAAAATCCAAAAGAACAACCTTAACAGTTGCCGCTGTTCCATGAGGTGGGTTTCTATCAAAGTAAAGGGGTTGGTTGCCCCTCTTTGGAGAATTATAAAGCATTTGCCCAAAAAAAAAAGGTTTAAGGGCATGGATACCCATTGATGACAACTTCAGGGGTCTTTTGCCCCTTTTCCCATTAATGAATAGCACATTTGAGTCCCAAAAACATTTAGAAATTTCATTAACCATCTCCCTGTCATCAATTTCTATTCAATCCTTATCATTTCTTTCATTTTTATTCTTAGCCGACTTTCATGAGTTACTAGAACTCAAACAACAATCAGCATATGCGGCGTATGTTAGTTGTAGCTTAGGCTACAAAAATCCAATCAAATGCAAATAGAATCATATGCAATTTCTTCATTAGACGACAAAAATCTAGAGCAATAGCATGAGTTTTAAAACATCAAAAGATCGGGGTTCTGACTTCCGGCGACACGGAGAAGCAGTAAGAGGGTAGCAGACCTTCAACAAAGGCAGCGGAATACAGAATAGAAAATGAGAGGACAGGTTTGGAAATCTAATAATTAATTGAAAACACCAAAGTGTAACGCTCCTAGTTGTAGCGTATTTTGATTTTGGCGGATTCGTCCAAAACGTTGAGCGAAACCTCTCTTTACCAAACGTAAAAAGATCAGGGTTTCGAGACTTTCAAACAGCTAAATTGGTCAAACCCTCCAATTTCTGGCGGGAACGCCAATTACCAAACACAGCCAATAAGTGAAAAACCTGTTTGGTAAATAGCGGTTCGGCACTAGCGTTTTCGATGAGAACGATGAAATGAAAACGCTGCTAATATGAGAGTTTTGTATTAGCGTTTCGAAAAAATGGCATTTTCTACTAATGTTATGGTCAAACAGCTAAATTATCAAACATATTTTAACAATCCGCCAATTTAGTCCAACAGTCAAACCTGCTGATCGAATCCGCTATTAACAAACCGCTAACATAAGTACATAACCCGTTATCCGCTAATCGTTAACCGTTCAATGCCAAACACACCCGCTATGTAGTACGTAGTATGTTTTTTCAATAAATAGGAGTAATACCATCATGTTAAATTATGATATTAATAGTGTCATATTCATTTCTAATCATGTCAGAATAAGTAGGTGTGATTTCAGTATAACAGTAATAACTCATATTTAAATGAAAATCTATTATATTCGAATTTTAAAATTTCACATTTTTATAGTCGTGTTATTTTTGGGATTTTTACCAATGAACATTCTACAATAGTTTAATAAAATCATACGGAGTAATAGATTTCCAACTCTTGCCCCACCAATTCTCAAGGTTTAAGTGGGGGTGGGGGTGGGTGGGGGGTGGGGAGTACGAGTGTGTTAAAAAACTTGGAATGCCTTGTCTATATACGAATCACTACTTTTAATGGACAAACGGTAATAGTCACAAAATATACTTTCAAAACTAGCAACTTATGCAATTTATGAAGAATTGAAAGACGTATGAACCTTGGGATTTGCTCGATCAGTAGGGCTGAATTGAGAACTGCTGTAATAGAGTTGCAGTTGACTTGGGAGAAAGGATATAGGAAGGTACAAGTACAGCTGGATTCGCGTGTTGCTATCCAGCTTCTACTGGGGCTCGGTGAGGTCACACACCAACATTCTTCTAAGGTCGCCAATTTTCGTGAGTTGTTGGATCGCGACTGGATGGTTACGGTAGAACACATTTATCAGGAAGGCAACCAAGCTGCTGACTACTTAGCTGGCTTTGGTCATAGTCAGTGTTCTAAAAGGCCCTATTAGGCAGCGCATAGGCTCGCATATGCGCAAGGCGCACAACAAACGCCCCGCACACCTCGAGGCGTGCTAAAAGGCGTGTTAAGCCTTTGAAATCCAAAAAAAAATTAATTAAATGCTGTTGGGCCGCATTTAATATTTTAATCTCACGTGCACAGCGCAACTACCTAGCCTTTACTTGGCAATTTTAATCTTCCGATGAATGACTTAATATATAGGCAATCAGGAGGAGGATTCATCTCATCCTTTCCGGTGTGGGAACACTAAAGCAGTACTCCGTACTAGAATTACGTTGCACCTATATGCTTGCTTACATTCTTTATTTCTTAGTTTTGAGTTTACATCTACTCCGTATTATTTTGCTTATATTATATAACTATAAACTTCAATTCAATCACTTCATTTTTTATTAATAATAATTAACATTATTGTATTATCCCTACTAAAAAGTAATGGTGTATTACTGTTATATTATTATTTTTACTCTTGTTTGTTGAAATAATATACTTAATATTGCTATTAGTATTATCATTATCAATATCGTATTTTACAATTTCTTACTTGTTGTATAGTAGATGCATATATAATGAGTCATTGATAGTTTTTCAAAATTGTATTGTCCGAAAATGTAAAAGTATGGTGCTTTTACGTGGTATATTTCGCATTACATGTGTATATTTATTACCTTTTCAGATCAAGTTTTTGTATAATTAGTGAATTTATACTATGTATTTGTTAGATTTAGGACTCGACAAACACCTTTATGTCAAAAATGAGAACAATCTGATGTTTTTGAATACCATTATTTATTTTTATATTTAAATATTTAAAAATATCTTTACGAATATTGAAATAAATGATAAATAATCAAAACGCCTTTTCACGCCTAAGTCCCGCCTAAGCCCGCCTAGGCTTCAAAGGCTTAAGGCTTGGGCGTGCCGCCTCGGCACGCCTTACACCTTTTAGAACATTGGTCATAGTTTACCACTTGGTATACATAAAATTTCTAGGAATGATCCTACTTTATCATTTCATTTGTTGTATGACTTTTTTGGGGTTTCCCAACCTCGCTTGATTATGAATGAAAGATAGGCGTTTGAGCTTACCAAAAAAAGAAAGAAGTATTTTATTAAATGCCATTGTTATCTTTGGCAGCCTTTTATTTGGGTATCCAATTTATTTATCTCAAGCCTTCTCTAAAATTGTCAAATACTTTATGCTTTGACGTTGACATTTAACTATAATACGCCCTCCTATTTTAATATTTGTTACACTTTTCTTTTTTGGATGTATTCAAAATTTTGTTACACTTTCCTTTTTGATAAATTTTTCTTTTAAAAATACTCTATTACCCTTACTTTTTCTACATTTTATCTTCTCTTTCATACCTTTTCACCATATCTTCTACTTTTTCTACACTATTTATTACTCCTACTATTTCACTCTTAAAAAATGTGTCAACACCTGTTGTCGTAAACAAAAAATGACGGAGGGAGTAGACACTACGCACAATATTAAATTAGAAAGCATGGAAGAACTAATATACGAATGCATCGAAGAACTAATATACTCCCTCCGTCCCTATATAAAAGGCACATTTTTTTTGGGTTGTCCCTATATAAAAGGCTTATTTCCCTTTTTAGCAAACAAAAAAGTGCAACACAATGTCTAACAGGATTCAAACAGTGTCAAACGGTGTCTAAACCATGCCTAACGTTGTTCCTCCTAAAGATATGCGCAAAAGTAAACGTGCCTTTTATATAGGGACGGAGGAAGTACTTTGTAGATGTTAGAGCATCTCCAACGGTTGTGTCTCGGGATTTTCTTGCAATTTTGAAGCTAATAATTTACCATTGGAGCATTGCTTTTCTTTTTGCTTGATAAAACTAATTAGCCAAAATGAACTACTAGTTTGAGCAAAGAGAATTATCAAATATGACATCATTAATATAATAAGTGAAGAGGAATAAGTTATAGCTAACAATTGGAGTATATTTTAGTTTTTCTGCAAATGCTGATGTGATTAGTCAAGCTATAAAGGTAATTAACTAACCACTAGAGATGCTCTATAATTGAGTACCTTCGGTGTTCTTTTGAACTTTTCACAAACAAGCAATCATCTCTAGCATCTCAAACTTGTAAGCGATCTAGAACTTCAAAACATCATATCGATTAAAAACAAGGATGTAGACCATTGTCTCATCGAGTTTAGAAGATACCTATTGGGTCTAAATAGGATCAAAATTAGAAAAAATAGAAAGGATTGGCATAAAGATATTGTCCAATATATAAATAAAAACATTTTGAAATTTCAAAACAAGAACAAGAACTCTACGTTTTAGGAGCCGTTTGGACACTAAGTTTTTCGACTTATCAGGCTTATTAGTCAACCTTTTCACCAAACACTTAATTTCCTATTTCGTGCGTTGAATTGTATAATAATAAGAAAAATTAAGATTGGAGTTACTATTCTGACTGTATTGGATGGAGCCACCGTAGATTATCTTTTTATCTTTTTTTTCATATAATTTTTTCTCTATTTTATTTAAAAAGTATATTTTAAATATAATTTTTCATAAATTAGCCAATCCAGCCATTTCAGCCACAACTTCATTAATTTCAGCATAATCAATCAATACAACCACAACTTCATAAATTTCAGCATAATCAACCAATATAGCTGATTTAGGTATCACCAAACGGGCTCTTAATTTATTAGTGGCGTGCATTTAAATGTTGCCCATTATGATAGTATATTAGGGGGTATCATACATTGCCCTCAAAATTTTACTATATGAGATGCCATTAGCGAGATTTAATTTAGCCCTACATGTGAGGTGATTGTTTATAAATTTAGCACTGATCCTCCTATCTAAGGGAGTAAGGGACAAGTGATTAAACTGATGTTAAACAAATTCTCTTGAACTCAACAGATCTTACTTTTGTATTGGAAAATCAAACTGACGAACACATAGCGACATAGGTTGGGTATCGTTATCCATAACATATCTCCAACTACTGGCAATTCAGCGAGTTGATCATTAGATCAATACGGTATGCGGCCGATGATAATTTGCTAGTCAATTGCCTCCCTAAATTAAATATACTTACTTTTCCGAAACTTCAAAGTTGACCTCATAATTTTTATTACTATTGTGGTAAAGGACAATTTTTTAGCTCTAGACATCATTTATTACTCATTTCTTTACTCACCTCTAGAATTTTATATTGTCATAGAATGAAGTGATAGTCCGGTGGCATTAAGGATGTTTTCTTTTGGACTGTTTTCAGTCCCAGACCAGACCAGATCAGACTTAAACAGACCAGACCAGACCAGACCAGACTTAAACAGACCAGACCAGACCAGACCAGACCAGACTTTCGTAGTTATAAAATACACAGAGACCAGACGTTTACCAGACCAGACCAGACCAGTTTAGACCAGACCAGACCAGACTTAAACAGACCAGACCAGACCAGACTTAAACAGACCAGACCAGACCAGACCAGACCAGACCAGCAAATTTCAGTCCAAAAGAAACATCCTAAGACATGTCTAATATCCAAATTCCTTAGGCAGGATTTACATCCTGGCCTGGTAAGTGTGTTAATATCAGAAATAAAACGTGCATCAATTTAAAATTGTGATAATTGTATTTTAGTAGTGATGAATGCACTCGTAGACATACATGATTCTCACCTTGTATCATAAAAATTTGCGCATAAGATGGTGATTATTTAGGATTTTGCACTTATGTATTTTGATATGGAGTATAAATTACTCCCTTCGTTCCATTAGAAGGTTCTCATTTCCCTTTTTGGACGTCTCATATAAAGGTTTTCATTTCCATTTTAGGAAAAAATTAACAATTTTAAGTGACAAATTAATAATCAAATATTAAAAAATAATACATTTATAACATCACAGTTATCAATACCAACTACAATTCTAACTACATTATTTCTATAACATCACAATTATCAATACTAACTACATTATAATATGTACCTATTAAAATTATTTATCAAAATATACTCGAAACACTTTATTTAATTATTGTCAAAATAGCTGTGTCATTTTGCTATGTGAACCTTCTAATAGGACGAAGGTAGTAGAAAGTTTATTCTTATAATGGGTAGGCAAAGGGTCATGCAGAATGTCTATTGGGCCGAGCTTGAGTTGTCTTGAGGATATGGGCTGTGGGCCCACAGTCATATACTCGATTCAATTCATTACATTGTACGAAAGGAGTATTACACACTTTGGAAAATTAACAAGAACCGTGTTCTTAGAGAAAACTCACCAATTTTATATATCAACAATTCTTGGTCTACATCAAATTTGTATATACTCGGCACACATATTTGTATGTGATTGTCTGTGCGCACAGACAATTGCTAGATAAGTACTTGTATACATAAACAATTAGGAGGTGTATACAATTTCTTCCTTTGTACCTCTAAATGTACTAAGTATGTTTTTTGGTTCATTATACTCCCTTCGTCCCGGAAAATTCTTTTCTGTATACTTGGATCCGAGTTTGAAAGTGAGAATAAAGTGAAAATGTATAATTATAGTTGAGTAAAAGGAAGATAAATGAATGGTACCCACTATTTTGAAAGGAAGGTATCGCGTTTTGGTTGTTTCAATTTCCAGTATTGGAACTGATACTAGTTTGTCAAGTAGTATATTTAGCAGAAATTGACCTAAATAGGAGTAAAAAACGTTTTGAAATTCTAAAATAGGAGTATCATGTTTTTTATTCCCTGAATAAGAGTAAATTTATGCCAAATTTGGCATTACAAGGCTTTTAAACATGACATTTTCTTCCAAACTTGGTAGATTACTCCTATTCAAGGAAAAAAAAACATGATACTCTTATTTTGAAATTTCAAAACGTTTTTACTCCTATTTAAGGAATTCCCTCTATATTTAGGCCACATCTAAAAACACCCCCTAAATATTTTGTTTTATTCTTATTACTCTTTTTAGTGAAGAAGGTGCGGTTTTTCGTTTGTTTTTCTTTCTTTCTCTGTTTGCTTTCGTGTATCCCGCAACTTAATTGTGATGATTGCTACCCTGTCGTGTTCATGAGCTGTATATTGTCCCTCCCTGACACTATTTACAGCATAGACATCTCCTGCACATTTTACTTACTTTCTTTTTTAAACTTTCAAAACTTTAATTATTAGATCGGACGAAAAGTCAAAAAATGAAAAAATAAAATACAAGAAAAGGGGAAAAAGAACCTCAAATGGCACTATAATAGCGGGAGGATCATAGAGTATAATGGACGTATATGAATGCAAATCCCCACACTTCTGTGATCTTAACAAGATCCAAATAAATTTTATTGATCTTTCCCGGGTCCATATAGATTTTCTGGCAACCTTTTAATTATGGGGCTGTGGTTATGTGGCGTTTTTGTTTACCTTCTC